AAGAAGTAACAGAAATAGATATTTTAGTAAAAGACCTGAGAGTACTTAGACATTCAAACTACACTGTCCCTTTGAAAGAGAGCATGCTGTATTCCATCCCAAGGGACAACGACATGTTATTTACACTTCCCAACCTCTCAGGAAAAGGTATCCCTCTTAGCTTTTACATAATATTTTTATCCACAGTTGATGTATTGCTTTACAAGGGTGAAAGAACACCATTATTCCTGTGTTTTACATAGTGAAACAGTTTCGTCATTAACAGGAAAGTGTTTTGTGTGGTTCGGTTTTGTTTTTTAAACACCTAAATTAAGCTCTACATTCTAGGTATTTTGTTTGTTTGTTTTCAAATTTGTTCTTCTTTGAAGGACTTGATACTTGTCAATCTGCAACCCAGACATCTCACAGGAACAAATTTTTCTCTCAGTGCTATGATGGAAGTTTCTTTAAAGCTCCCCCTTTTTCCTGAGAATGAAAGAGAAAACTGGGGAGGAAATACCTGTCTGGGTCACTTCCAAACCAGAGAATAGTTTTTTTATTAAACTTGAATAACTTAAAAGCAAGAGAAGGTATTTGATGCCGTAATCTTATTTCAGTTTTGTTCAATCAAAAGCTCTCAAGGATTTCATAGGAGATGAATATTTTGGTCTAGTTCATCACCTTTTAATCTGGTGACAGCTGAAATCTACAGCTAAGGGCACGGCTAAAGGCTGCACCATAACACTGCTTCTGCTTCTTATCAAGTTCACTAGTCAAAAAAAAAAGTCAGCCTTCTGTGTTCCTGCTGTACATGTGTGAGAACTGTACCATAAGTATAGAAATGCAGCATGTTTTTGTTTTCCTGAACAGTGAGTCAAATAAAAAGCAAGCCCCTTACTAAATCTAGCTTTTCTTCTTCAGATATTCAAGATCCACTGCAAACTACCAGTCAGTACCTCATCCAGCAAGTAGAAACTACAGTAGATGAAGAGACATTACCTGGCAAGTTACCAGAGACCCCTCTTAGGATAGAACCTCCATCTTCTTACAAGGTAGTTTTGTGGTTGGTTTGTTTGTTTGTTTGTTTTAATTACTAGTATATACCTTTAAAGACTCGTCTAAAAAGGACAAGCAGGTTTTTTCCCGTCCCTGTGTTTTTTTTCCTGTTTCCCCAGAGGTGAAATGCATACAGCTTGGTGACATTCCTAGGAAGAAAAGTTGCGGTAACATGCTGCAGATAGAGCTGAATGTTATTCAGTATTATGGTTTGAGGGAATGAACTTCCTTCCCCATTTTTAGAATTGTCTACAGAAACACATGCAAATATTATGTTTTCCTCCTTTGTGGATGTTTACAGAACAAACCAAACAAACCCAGCAATGTTAGGATTCAGATAGCGGGTCTTCCTCATGTGAAAACCAAACGCAACATCCATTTAAAGATGATAAGAAGGTATATAACATTCCTAGGCCTTTGTCTTTGGTCCTTTATTTTTAATTTGAAAAAAGGCAACATAGCATGTAATAACTCATTTCTGGAAGAGAGAATTGCCATTCGTACTTAACCTAGTATTGACTTCTCAAAGTAACAAATATAAAGCAGCATAACAGTAAAGACCAGAATTTCTGTTGTGAGAAGTGTCTGACAATAACTGACTTCCACAAAAGTCTAAGAAATCCCCACAGCCAACCACTAAGAACAGACTTTTACAGACATACTCTAGGAAACTTAAAAAAACCCCCCTTCCTAAATTACCCCTTAGCGGTGAGAAATTGTTAGGTTTTTTTTTTTTTACTCCAGTAGGAATCAAATGGGTTTCTAAATCCTGCAAAGTTCTGACCTCACAGCTACTTCATGACAGTGAGTTAAGATCTTTACATTATACCAGGCTATTATACTAAGCATTCATAACAATTTCAAATACTGTTTAGCTTTAAATTACATCATTTTTTTCTGACTCTACTTGAGTGCTTACCCCTCTGGGAGCTGGGCCATTGGTCTCGCCCGCTGTAAGAAACACAGTAACAGCTTGAGAAGTTTCGGTTCCAGGTTAGGTAAGGATGGGCTTGATGGCCTTCTCCCTGGCTGAAAGAAACACTTTATAACCTGCTGCTGAGACAGGAGGGCCAAAATAGTAAGCTGGAAGTTACAGGTAAGCCAGAGAAGGTGCTACCCCTCTCCTGGGCTGTCAGTAACCCTTTCCCTGCTGTACACTGCCATGGTATCATAGCTTCTCTATGCCTAGGCCAAGTAGCTCACCCTTCGCCTGCTCTGTTCAAGTGTCCTTTATTTTCCAAAGTGGCCTTTCCTTTCAGGGAACTCTGCTAGGACGAGCAGAGAACTAAACCTTCCAAACTTTGTAGAAGAAAGAGGCCTGGGTCACCAGGCAATTCCATCCTGCTTTTACATATGCTTAAGCATACATAAATTTAAGTAAAACTATCATCATGTAATGTGATTCACCAGTAGCTACACAAGTGCACTTGCTATCTTTTTATTTTTACCTCTTTGGTTGTAGGTGATGTGCCAGTGGGTGGAAGACTTGAGAAAAGGGCTGTGCAGATTCTGGTTTCGATCTTTACCCATCTTCTTTAGTTTGATGGAAGTCATTGTAGTTGGAGTTGTTGGAGCAGCTCTTATTCTTAAAGTCTTAAAGGTGATTTTCCCTTCCTGTGAAAACAAGTAAGTAATTTTTGCTGGTTTTTTTCCTCTGATGAAGGCAAAACATTAAGTAAAAAGTCTTTCAAGAAGCAGCCGCATTCTGTAGGAAGATGATGGCAACAACTCAGTGAAAAGGCTGCCAGTAACTTTCCATTCCAAGTGATGTTTTGACACGCAGGCATTTGAGAGGAACATGGGAAAATCTTCCATTGGAAATGTCTTTAGCTTGGCTGTCATATTGCCAAATTTTTATCAAGTCTAAGGACTATGTTGTGAGACACCATTAACATAGCTGCAAGAGAGGATGGTAGACGCTAAACAATTCCAACAACTCTAAATCTTTTCATACTCCTACTGTGTTGGAGTTGTTATAGTAGTTAGGAAAGGCCTCAAATTTGGCTTTGCAAATTTGTACAGTAATCCTCCAAGGAGGAGCTACCTGTGTAGGCAGCTTACAAGCCACAGTGATTGGTGCTAGCATTGGTGGCAAAAGGTCATAAATGAAGTTGATTGACTGCAGGTGGCTTTATTCACTCACTTGGTGTGTTACCAGCAACACTAATATTTTTCAGAGAAGCAAGCTCTCAAAGCAAGAGGTGGAAAGATGAATTAGTAACTGCAGCTAAGAAATCGGGATAGATTTAGTGCTGGAATGGGCAAGCACGTACATTTTAAAGCAACCCAAGTCAGTTCTGGAAGACTGGAACCGTACGTTCTTTCAGAAGTGACTGACAGTGTAGTGTGCTTCATCGCCCACAGCAAGCACAGCTGATGTCTTCAAATGCAACTGACCAGCTGTGCTTCTGAATGGCCCCGAGTGCGGTTAATTTATGGATCCACCCAGGGATACGACTGGCCTTAGTCCTTCTGACAGAGCTAGAAAAATGGAGGGTTGGAAGATCAGGAAGGCTGGAAACTGCAGTGACAAAAGAGGCCGTGCTTCCCCCTGACATTTCACAAAGCACGCTGTCAGTTTGGAGTACTTCTTGTAACTAACTTGTCAGAGCAGAAAAAGTGAAGAAACACTTTGTACGCCCCCCCTCCCCCCCAGCAGTACGTAGCTTAACGCTGCCATGTGTGAAACTTAGAACTAAGAAGAACTAGGAAAAAAATTCTAATCCCCATAAACTTTCAGTGAAGTGTCTGATGGCCCGTCCGTGGCAGAGGTCGGCACAGAGCAGAGGAACCAGCCTGCAGTAATTTCTCTTCCAGTTGGAGAACGTGGGGCTTGTGCATGGCTTGTCAGAGCATTTCAAGAAATGGTAACACTGGAAGGATGGTCCTCCCCCCTTTTAAAAAATACAAACACAAAAAACAAAACCCCAAAACCCCACAGTCATTTCCTTGCTACCTGTATAAAGCGGTCCTGTAAGAAGTGGTAAAGGTTTAACTCTAAATCAGCAAGAATGAGGAGAAGGTCTCATTTGGTGAATGACACAGTGGCAGACGTGAGTCAGGCCCCCGTCCCAAGTCTTTAATGCCATGCCACAGCAGATGGATACACCTAGAGGCTTTAGCTAGTCTTAGAGAAGGAGGTGCAAGAGCCTGACAAAGTAGCACCTGACAGCAGAGAGTTTTAGGCTACCATGAAATTGAGCATATAGAGCCTACGCTGCTGATACTTCAGATGCAGAAACTGGGTGAAGTGACCCCTCTGAAACCACAGCTACTACATCTTGGAACCAGTTTTCCGTCAACTTTTCATTCTAGCTTCATCAAAGAAGCATTATGAGGGTGATACTTGATGCATTGAGTTAAACTAAGTTTGGGGAGTTCAAGAATACTGTTTAGACCACAAAATTGTTTTGTACATAGTTTTTCTAATGCCAGGTAATCTTACTTTTCAGAGGCATCCTTCTCCTGGATCAAGTCAGCTTTGTACCTGTGATTACCATTAGCTTGCCTTCAGATCTTCCAGACAGGAAAAATAATTTAGATGAGAAAGCATGTACTTAATACTGTGTGTACTTTGGAGTTACTGTTTTTTTAAAAACAAATTTTTAGTTGACCTGAAATTTGGCACTTGATCTTAATACCTTATTTGTTTCCTACTAGAGAACTAAGTCAGTTGATTAATTGGTAAGGGGACACTGGGACCGAGGCCCAAAGCTGACTTCCCCGTGCCTCTCTGTAAAGATGCAGCCTTTTCAGAAGTTTCAAAATAAACCAGCTTTCCACCCTGAGGGCTACCATTGGTTTTAACTTCCGTGAAGTCACTTTTCCACACCTCGGACAGGATGCTGGCTGCCTTTGTGCCCATAGATAAACCAGGTCAGCTCTCCTGAAGAGCGAGATGATGAAATTCAGGGTGTCCTGAAGTCTCCAGGCAGCGTTCTTCAGGAAAGGACAAGGGAGCGTCACAAACATTAGCTGTGCCTGCAAGCTGAGACAAAGCTGCCCAGCCTGGTTTCAGGTCTCTTAAGGTTGAGTGTGCCTTGCAAGGAAAATATCACTGCCAAACATTTCTGTTACTCAAGTAATTCGACATTTTATATATGCAAAACAAAAATGAAAAAGGCAGATTTATATTTCAAGCACTTTACACTTTTATGGCCCCTTCCACTCATAAAAATTGTTAACACTTGTAAACGATGTGCTTTTTGTATCTGTGACAGCAGTACTATGTGAAGTCTCAAAAGAAAAAAGCAAATTCTCCAAAAGCACTGGCTTACTATTGCGAAGTAGGCCCAGTCTGCCCATGCTGATTTGTACTGTCAACATTTTTCAAATAAACATGTAAATTGTTTATTAGACTGTGTTCATGTGTGCATCCATATTTAGTTACATAAAGCAGCAGTTTCCCGAGTGTGTTAGATGCAGGGTACTGTTTGGTTTTTAGCTTTTCATTGTTTTTATTTACAAAAATTGTTTGTCAGAAGAATAACTAGGGAAGAAAGAAAAAAAAAGATTCTTAGCTGTGCTCAGTCTAATGCCAGGTAGTTATCATTTGAGTGATCAGAATTATCCATGCTCAGCTTAAGTTGCTCTAGTGAGGGAGGAAAACTAGGCTTTCCAACCCCCCGCTTAAGGAAAGATGATCATAAGTTTAACAAGATCTCCGCGTTACTCAGATACCTGTCCTTACAGCTGGTCTGTGACAGGAACAACTCGAGAGTTGTCTCAATAAACGGACAGCACTACAGTGGTAGAAGCAGCATTTCTAACACTGAACTGCCTTCAAAAAAAAAAAACCCCAAAACGACCAACCCAAAAAATAGCACCTAGCAGCGCAGCGTGGTACACGTCAGCAGACGATAACAGGGATGCTATGCAAACTTCCTTTTTTTTCTTTTTACCTCGTGGGTTTGTACTTTGCGTTTACTTCCTCAAGCTCGGTGGCAGGAGAGCACAGGGCCCCAGCCGTTTGCGGGGCACCCAGCCGAGGAAGGGCGCTGGAAGCGGGGGATGCGTCACTGCTGGCTGGGTGCTTGGGGCAGGCGCGGAGCCCTGAAACGCTCGAGCAGAGCGGCTGCCGAGCTGGAATGCGTGGCAGTGACCGGCAGCCCCGGAGCCCCAGGACCGCACCACAAGAGAGCTACCATAACGATAACATAGCCACGTAAGACAGAGGCGATGCTAGAGCTACAGAGGCATCTGCACTGAGAACGCAACATAGCGAAAGCAAAGACGAGAGGCGGTTGTCATCCGTGGCTAAAGGGGAAACTGCTGAGGCTCTGGCACAGGCACGGTGACTGCACAGACGAGAGGAATGGTTGAAGAAAGTCTTCAAACAGTCGCAAACTCCTTTTTTCCATGTCTGTGGAAATTAATGTTCTTTCCACTTTATGAACTGGTCCCTTCATTAACGTAGTTCAAATAGAAGTGATGTATAAGGCTGAAGTTTAGCTTCTTAGAAGAAAAAAAAACAACAAAAAATAACAAGGAGTCGGATGGACACAATCCACGACAGTCCTTACTGCACAAGCATAGCATGAACTGCAAGGCAGACGGAAATTTGGCAGCTGTTAGCACGTGCTCTTTGCATCCCTGCTTATGAAACTGTAAACCAAGCACCTGCACAGCAACAAGGAGATTAAACTCAATTCTAAACAGCTGCAACAGAAATAAATGAGTGGTTAAGCCTGATAAAGTCTTAGTACTGCTTCACAGCTTGGCTGATTTCCATGAGCTAAGTAACCCTCTTGCCTTCTGCGTCACGTTCTACAACGTTACAAAGCACAAGGGAAGAAACGCTGCCATCAGGTTAACGAAATCAAATAAAAAAAAAATAGTGCAAATCTTGAATCAATGAATTGCCAGACAACACTGCTGTGCTACAGAGCTGGAGCTACCAAGTGTTAAAAAGTTACAGCACCAGTGTTCTGCTTTAGCATGTACATGGTCTCGTGCCTTTCAGCGGAGCGCTACTTTGAGCTGGGACCGCTCTGAACCATTTGTAGAACAGTTTAAAAACTTCACGCAACTAACGCAGTTCGGAAAGGGCAACTGTTCTGCGTGGCAGTCCTGGTAGGTCTCACTTTCCCAGTACATGAGCTGGCAAGGATACAGGTTCCCAGCTGGGGGAAAACCAAACCACCAGCCCCGCCCCCCCAAAAAACCCCCAAACCAAAAACAAAACCCAACCCCAACCCCCACCCCCCCAGTCTGTAGGATGGCAGTAGGTTTTTCAGAAAGGCAGCATCTTTTATCTCCCATTCTCACGCGCTGTGGCTCTGGCTGCAGCCGCTGTTGCGCCTCGCCCTCAGAGCGCCCGGCTGCCTGTGAAGACAGGGAGGTAGGCCGCGCTGGCCCTTCCCTCCGGGCGGGAGCTCCAGCGGGGGGGCTGGCTACCGTCAGGCTCCCCCTTCCAAACCAAAACGAACCCCTGAGCCACAGATTCAGCATCTACCACTTCTTTCCCCTCCATCTACCACGTATTACCCCGGTGTTGATGTTGTTCACCTGGAGCGAAGAGGGCCGGTTGAGCTGCAGGGCTACACTACTGCTTTTAAAATGAGGTTTACTTCGGAAGTTCTCAGAATACATCACGCTTTCAGTGTAAGTGGCCCTGGGCTGCTTCCAAGGACTACAGCTTGCGTACTCTCCCAGCTTACTCAGGGGATAGATTGAATGTTTTGGTTTGCTTGCAACAAAATGATTTATGAGAAGAAATCTCCTCCTGCAACGCAACTGACGGCTATATACTCATCCTAACATATAAATAAAAATAAGAGAGCCCACTTCCTCAAAATACTGCATCTTTTCCTTAACTCGGACACACATGGCTATCCTTTTCAAAGGAAAGAGGGAAGTTTATTTTCCATTTTGGAGATGAAAGTCTACAAATACACACACTTGTATACTCACCTGAACGTCTTCCTTCCCTTCATTTCTGGGCTCACCGCGCCAGGTCCACCCAGGGATTCAGGAGCTCCCAACAGTATTTGCATCTCAGTGTCTCATCATCGGCACTGCTGGAAGCCCCTTTTCAGTGTGTCCAGCTGTCGCTCATGACATAGCGGTGAATTTTAAGTACATTAACAAGATACTCACGATAACGCCATTTATACAACTCATTTGCCTTCGACTCAGGCTGCCAGTTTTCATTACCATTTGTCCTTTCCGTCTGCCTCGCAGCATCTGACGGGACGCCCGAGCAGGAACCCCACAGCCAGTTTCGTCCAGCATGTATCTACCGTCTGAAACAAGTCCAGACATCTCTGATCCATGAAAAAGCACGCAGTTTAGCTGTAAGCAGAACTACAGCTGGCTGCTCCGAGATAAGCTAGCAGGAAGAAGCGTTTCCAAAAATAATAGGAGACGGACAAGAGATGATAGATATTTTAGTTACAGTGAGCACTGTTGAGCAAAATCTAGAATTATGACCTAAACGGTCACTGTAGAACCGTTCTCTGAGAACTGCTTCTCCGTTCCACTCGTCAAGTAATGCAGAAGGAGAATTTAGATTTTACATCAATTGTAAAGTCAGGGTTACGAACAGAAATCAATGGAGCACAAACACGACGCGCGCACTGCCTTCTCGGAACAGCCTGACCAGAATAACCGCGTAGTGTAAGCCAGGGCCCAACCTGCCAGTCTGGAGTTTTGAAGCTTACAGTACCAGGCAGCGAGGGAAGAAAAACATATTTCAGAATGCCAGAAAGCTTTTGTTCCCTCTCGGACTTACAAGGAGGCCGCACGTGCGACTCCGCATCACTGCTGGCTGCACAGAGTTACGTTTACACTGGCTGGATGTATTTTAATCTTACTTAATAGATACTGCAAACCAGTGATGATCCTACCCCTTGCTTAAACTTCAGCTGAACCTCCTGACTGTTGGCAGCGCAAGGGTTGCTGTCCTGAATCTCAGCCTTTGTACAGCTTCTTTATTAATACCTTCGAAACGGTTTAAGGGTAGAGTTCTCTACGATCAGCTAGCAAAACCATCTACATAACTGCGTCTTGTTCATCCCATTTTCTAGTTCTCAGCATTCCTTACTCATTTAGCAGGGCTAGTTTGGGTTTTTTTGGTGTAATAGCCATTTTTCAAGAGTAAACCCTCTGATCAAGAGTTCGAGTATTAAATTTAAGTAATTTTAAAATCTGGAAGATCAAAGCGTATCCCATCAGTATCTTTCACATTTGAGAAAAGCGGGTAACTTTTGAGCTAGTTCAAAGAGAGCTAGACAGAATTTGCATTTTAAAAAAAAAATTTATTTAGACATCTGTTGCTCTTGAATTACAAAAGTTAAAAAGAGCACGCAGTGCACTGACACACTACTTATTACTTCTAAAGCTGTTTTAAGACGTAAGGTGGCTTCTTCAAGATAAGACAACTCAGCACGATCCAAATTCAACTATCCATTTCTCATATTTCTCAATGTCCGCAGCAGATACAGATTTAGAAACTTTCTTCAAAGCTATTTCAAAGTCTTCCATAGTTGTTGGCATGTGCATTTCATCTCGGGAAAGATTTCTTATTTCTTCTGGTGTCAAGCCTTCGATACGCCTTCTCATAGCCATCAACGATGCATCTCTATTAAGGATGCAAAAAAAAAAAACACCAAACAAACCAGTTACTCAACACAGGTTGACAAGCTCAGTTGTCCGAAAGGCTCAACACAGCATTACGGTGAAGC